TTATTTTCTCTTACAACATTGCAGATAATATTCCATTGTTTTCTGGCTCTCATTGTCGCTTCTGAGAAGACAGCTGTTAGTCTAACAGTTGCTCCTTTGAAAGTTAACTGTCTTGTTTCTCTACTTTCAGGATATTCTTTCTTTTTTCTTCAATTTCTTTCTTTTTTGTTTTTTTCTTTTTCAATTTCACTATGACATCTCTAGGTATAGATCTCTTTTTATTTATTTATTGTAATCGAGATTATTTGAGCTCCTTGAACCTGTGAATTGGTGTTTTTCACTGGTTTGGGGTCATTTAGTCATTATCATTTCAAACATTAACTCTTCCCCATCCTCTCCTCCTTGAATTTTATTCAAATATATGTCAGTCCTTGAATTCTATTTAAATATGTATTTTCTCCATGCCTCTGAATTTTTCTCTGATATTTCATGTCTGAAACTCAAAAGTTTTCTCCATGGGCCCCTACCTTTAGGTATAAGTGGCTTCGCTGCTCATGTTATCTCCCTGGCTTTCAGCTTTATCTTCAACTTTGGCCTGACAATTCCTTTCTATCTCGTCAGCTCTTTGCTATAGTTAAGAAAATGTTTCTAATCTTTTATGAATGATTTTTAATTGTCTTCAGCAAAAGGTTTTATCTAAATAACTTAACCCAAGTTACTCCTAAAACACCAAAGACATTTTTTCTGTTTTTATTCCTGATATATTTGCTATATCAAGTTCTTTTAGCAGAATTCAAATAGAAATTTAATTGTGCTTTTATACACAGCTTCCTGGTTCTTCCCCACTCCCTGACTTCTTTGACAGGTGAACAATCTAAATCGATTGCTTTTTCACTTTTTGTTCTTGCTTTGTCCACACTGAGAACCTCTTAGTGCCTCCCTTTATTAATTTCCTCATATTCTAGTCTTGTTAGCCAACACTAATGACTCAATGTAAATATCTCAAAGGCATAGAGATTTCTAGAAGACTTAATGAACAATCATACCTCTTGTTACTTAGGTTAAAAATATTGATCATTGCATATATCATAGCAACTATGATATAATCAAATATGGCAGTTAACCAGAGATAACAGAGATTAACCTTCACCCAGACCTGCCCTACAATAGCATCAAGCTATTTGCCCTCTTTTAAATCTTACTCTTATTTTTAATAATTATATGTCTTTATAAATATAGATTTATCATTTATTATCATTAAAGGTTGTACCAAGAGTTACATTTTAAAAATATGACAGTGATACTGTTTAATGTAATTGAAGAGCTATAGAACAATTTCTTGGAGTGGTTTAAGCAGGTGCATGGCATATAGTCATGTAGCTTATGCATTGTGCAACCCTAGAGGTTGCCATTTACATCAAGGTACAACCTAAAGGAAGCCCTAGACTAAGATGAATTTGGGCTCATTTTTAGTGAGTTGATTGTCTAGTGTCAAGGTCTAAATTTTACTGGTTAAATGCTAGCAAGTTATTTTCTCTATAATTGATGCTATCTTACTAGTCATTCTTAATACCTTAAAATTTTGCTGAGAACTGGTAGCTATTCAGGTCATTTCTGTTGATGACCCAGATAATATTGAGCTAACCTATATTATACCAGAGGATGAGGAAATATTCCAGTTGAAAAAATAAAAATGACTTATATAAGCATTTGAAAATCTATAGATATCTCTCTTTGATCAATGATCCCACAGACCTGTGACTTAGCAGGACATTCTCAGTTTATGTAGAAGTCAATAGTAGCTACATTATTTAAAATACCATAAAACTTCTATTAGCAAATATATTTTTAGCCTTGAGGAAACATAGTTCAGACATGACAACGGAAGCAGTCTCTTCAGGGGCTCCCAGGAACTAGTAAGTTCTTGATCCATATTCTCTTTTCAAGATGATTGCTGGGATCATTCTTCATTCTGGCTTTTCTTACCCTCACCTGGGAGCTGAGTACCTTCCCTCTTCAGTATAAAGGCATGGTTTATTTTGATCAGGGGCCCAAGTCACAGTACATAATAACCAGTCACTGTGTACACTAACTTAACTTTGACCATATCTTGTATACCACTTAGCCCTGCCCTAAGAGTTGGCAAAGGTCAGGAATGAATTTGTAGAAATTTTGAAATTCTATAATAGAATTTTGAATTTGTTGATTCATTTTATCTGATGGACCCAAAACTTACTTACAAAGAGACAAATTCTCAGGAGGCTGGTATTGTGGTCTAGTAGAAAGTATAGAGACTCACCAAATAGCCAAATGACCTTGACTCATCTTCAGGAGCATACTGGGCCTCTTTGTTCATCTGTAGAATGAGGGTTTGAGGCTAGGTGGATTCTGAGTTCCATTCCAGAATAAACTGCCCTTATATTCTTCCTAGAGATAAACTTAGACACATGTGTGTTAAATCTTCTAAGTCAACTCTACCAATTCTAGACAGAGTAGAGCCTAAGGCATTTGCATAGGACAGTGTTTTTGTAGCACTTTAGTTCACTAAATAATTACTTTTTAAAAGAGCAGTGCTTTTAGAGGTGGAACAGGGTTCAGAAACTTTAAAAACATATTTATTTCCAAACTTTCAGTTGGAACTTCCTTAGATATACATATAATGTCTAATTCATTGAATTTTACAAACTGAACATGCCCATCTAACCAGCACACAGAATATTATCTGTACCTCGGAAGTCCTCTCTCCTGGTGTCCACTTTTATGATTATTACTACCCTCTTCCTTCCAAGGATAACTGCTCTCCTGACTTCCCTATTGATTAATTTTGTCTGCTTTTGTTTCGCATATGAATGGAATCATGGTACATTATGCATTCTTTTATGTGAGGTTTCCTTGGCTGACATTATACATCTGAGACTCATCAATATTGTTGTGTGTAGCTGTAGCAAACACATTTTTCCTTCAGATAGACTGATACATCTTTGCACAACTGTATTGACATTCTCATTTGAGAGACTCATATGAGAAGATCAATAATATGCCATTATGAACAGAGGATAAAAAAATGCTCAAGAGAAGAAACAAATGAGAGGCATTTTATAATTTATTAACACATTGTATTAATATATAATACAATTTATTAATTTTAAAAATACAAATCCTCTTTTGAAGGAGAAGGATTCACCTCCTGGTCTAAAATGTTATCATGCCATGTCAAGGAAAGAATCACTCTCCCAGTACTGGTTATGGCTACTAAATGACAAGAGTCTCAGAGAGTGCCAGCTTTACCTTGAAACTGAGAAACTGTAGTTTATTTATCCCCCTCTTTCTCTGCCCTCATCACCTTAATCCTTGTGCTACATGACCCTGCACATGCTGGGTGCAAAATAAAGATTTGCTGAATGAATGAATGAATGAAGAATATAGCTGACATTTATAGGGCATTCACAATGCCAGCCACTGTGCAAAGATCTTTTGTTTACTCATTGTTTTAGTCAGCTTTCTTGTTGCTGTCACCAAAAGATCTGACAATAACAATTTTAGAGGAAGAAAAGTTTATTTAGGACTCACAGTTTCAAAGGTCTCTTGTCTATAGATGGACGACTCCATTGCTCTGGGCCCAAGGTAAGGCAGAGCATCATGGAGGAAGGATATGGTGAAGCAAAGCAGAGAGAGAGAAAGATTGAGATTCCCACGGTTAAGGGTCTCATAACCCAATCATTTTCCCTCTAAATTTTCTTTCATTGTTTCACACATGAACTTTTGGGGGACACCTAATATCTAAACCATAACACTCATCACAGCAATACTATAATGTTGATGCTGTTATCACAATTTGCTAAATGGGTAATTTGACCATTGTAAATTACTTGCCCAGAGTCATTCACGTTATGTGACAGAGCTGGATCCTTTCAACTCATGCTCTTTAGTCTTCACTACTGTGTATGCACACTCTGCCTCAGGCTTGCAGAAGCTGCCTTGGTGGCTGGATTGATGTGTACTCTTGGCCAGTAGGGTAGCCCAAAACACAGCCTGGTCTGTTGCAGCCCCTTCCCCTCTGGCTGTGTGGGAGTGTGTTCATTGGGCTCTAACTGCCTCCCTGCTTTGTGCCTGAGCTGAAGAGTGCATTGCAATTTCCCAGCTGGCTTCTTCCTCCCTGAGCATCCATGGCATGACAGGTACTGACTGCCTATCATGGGTTTTGTTGGTCAACTCCTTCACCTGAGCAGAATAGAAGTAGTCTTAGCATTTGAAGTGCCCACCTCCACTACATGTAATTCTTCTAGTTACCCTGTTCAGTCCTCACATCTCATCTGGTATATGTCAACTCTCAGTAGATTCATTGAATGAACAAATAAGTGAATGGTAAGTGTAGCCTTTAAATTCAATTCTGATATAAACTTTGTTTTTTAAAAAAGGTTGACTCATGGACTATTAAAAATGCAAGCAGTGACAATAAGATGCAATAAAGAGGAAACACAAAGTACCTGGCCTTTTACAGTATTAAGACATAAGTAGGGTAGATTATTTAGAAGATTCTGTGAATCCTTCTGATTCTAGTATAATCTTAACCAGCCTTTATATGGTGGTAATAATTATATACATACTATTTTTGTTTTAAATTTCTTCTGATATTTTGAACGTGTTGGTATTTTCTTTTCTTTCTTTTTTAAAATATTTTTTAGTTATTGATGTACCTTTTTAATTTATTTACATGTGGTTCTGAGGATCGAACCCAGTGCCTCACACATCCTAGGCAAGTGTTCTGCCATTGAGCCACAACCCCAGCCCCCGTGTTGGTATTTTCCATAGATCTTCATGGACTACCTTGCTAATCATTTTGAATATAATGTTCTACTTTGTGACTTTCCCTTAATCAAAACATGGGCTTTGCTTTTTAATGGCTGGTGCTCACCTGGCATTGCTGATTTTCTGGACTCATAGTACTAAAAGGAATCAGCATGGCAGGTTGCCTTGGTTGAGGAATGACCTTTTGGGTATTGCTGTGTTGTGATTACGGCAGCTGTGACAATCTGTTGTCCCCCTTCTTTTATTTCAGGATGTTTTTCTCTGGTGGGCAGTGTGGTCATGTTGGCAGACCTGAAGAAGTTTTACTGACATTCAAGATATTCCTTGTCATCATTTGTCTTCATGTTGTTCTGGTTACATCCCTGGAAGGTAAGGTGTCTGTTTTTCTTTTCTTTTTTCCTCTGTTTATTTGTGTGTGTGGGGGGGGTGTTGTTATTTAGGATTATTTTTTCACTATGGTAAAATATATACAACATATTTACCATTTTAACCATTTCTAATTGTACAGCTATTGGCTTTAAGTACAATCATGATTTTGTGCAGACATCACCACTATCCATTCCTGGAACATTTCACCATTAAACAGTAACTCCGCATCCCCCAATTTCTATTCTTTTTGTTTCTATGAATTTGCCTATTCTGGGTACTTCATAAGTATAAATATAGTAATATTTATCCTTTTATGTTCAATTTACTTCAGTTGGCATAATCTTTTCAAGGTTCATCTATGTTTTAGCTTATTCAACAGAATTTCATTCCTTTTTAAAGTTGAATAATATCCCATTGAGTGTATGTTCCACAACTTATTTATCCATTCATACATTGATGAACATTCGGGTTGTTTCCTTCTTTTGGCTATTGTGAACAATGCTGCTATGAAGATGGGTATACAAATAACTATTTGAGTCCCTGCTTTCAGTTCTTTGGGGTATTTACCTAGGAGTAGACTTGCAGGGTCATATGGTAATTTTCTGTTTAACTTTTTGAGAAACTGCCAATCTCTTTTACAGTGACTGTGCCATTTAACATTCCCATAAATGAAGCACAAGGATTCTAGTTTCTCCACATCCTTGGCAACACTTGTTATTTTCTTTTGTTTTGATGATAGGTATGAAGTGGCATCTCATTGTGGTTTTGATTTGCTTTTCCTTAGTGATCAGTGATGTCAGCATCTTTTCATGTGCTTATTGGCCATTTGTATACCTTTGGAGAATTAGCTGTTTAAGACTTTTACTCACTTTTTAATTGGGTTATTGTTGTTGTTGTTGCCTTTTAGGAGTTATTTATATACTCTACATATTAAATCCTGTGTAGGATATATGTTTGGCAAATATTTTCTCTCATTCTGTGGAGCATTTTGTCACTTTCTTATAGTATAATTTCATGGATAAAAGTTTTGGTTTTATTTCTTTTTTGTGGTACCAGGGATTGAACCCAGGGGCACTTTACCACTGAGGTACATCTCCAACCCTTTTTATTTTTTATTTTGAGACAGGGTCTCTAAATTGCCTTGGCTGGCCTTGAACTTGCTATTCTCCTGCCTAAGCCTTGCAAGTCACTGGGATTATAGGTGTGAACCACCATGTCTTGAAAAAGTGTTTAATTTTGATAAAGTCCATTGTATCTATTTTTACTTTGATTGTTTATAGGTTGATGTCATACCTAAAAAAAATCATTGCCAAATCCAATGTCAGGAAGATTTTCCCATTTTCTTCTCTTAGTTCTTAGTTCTTGCATTTTGGTCCCTTGATCTATTTAGAGTTAAATTTTATATATGATGTAAGAATCCAATTTCATTCTTGTTCCTTTGGATATCCAGTTTTCGCAGCACCATTTGTTGAAAAGACTGTCTTTTCCTTTGGAATGGTATTGATGTCTTTGTCCGAAGTCGATTGACCAAATGTGTTAGCATTTATTTCTGACATTTATTCTATTTTATTTTGTGGTACTGGGTATTGAACCCAGGGACACTCTACCACTGAGTCACAATCCCCCACCCCCTTTATTTTTTATTTTGAGACAAGGATTACAAATTCAAGGGCCAACCTCAGCAACTTAGGTTGCTGAGTTGGCCCTTGAATTTGTAATCCTCGGGCCTCTGCCTCCTGAGTTTCTGGGATTACAGGCATGTACCATTGTACCCATCCTGATGTTTGTTTTTAAAAGTATTTACTTGAAGGAATTTCCATATGGAAATTTAAAGGCGTCAGAAAACTAGCTAAATGAAGCAGCACGGTATTTTTAGAAAAGGGGATCTTTAGAAGCTTATGAAACAAGGAGAAAGATACCTGAGGAAGGCTGCATAAAGGCCAGCAATAGGGCTGTGATTTCTGTGGGTATACTGCCAAAAGAACACTGGGCTATGCAAATGTAAAGAATACTCATTAGGGGGCTGAGGATATAGCTCAGCTGGTAGAGTGCTTGCCTTGCATGCACAAGACCCTGAGTTCAATTTCCAGAACCACAAAAAAAAAAAAAAAAAAAAAAAGAAAAGAAAAGAAAGAAAGAAAAGGAAAATAATACTCATTAAGAGTGAGATTAGGAAATGAATGTTACTTAAGAAGATACTATTAGCCAGTGTGGTGGTTTGTCCCTGGAATCCCAGTGGCTCAGGAGGCTGAGGCAGGAGGATTGCAAGTTCAAAGCTAGCGTCAGCAACTTAGTGAGACCTTGTCTCTAAATAAAATATAAAAAGGGCTGGGGATGTGGCTAAGCACCTCTGGGTTCAATCCCTGGTACCCCCCCCCCCCCAAAAAAAAGACATTATTTAAGACAGGTAAATATGTTTCTTATTCAGAAGAAGGTGGTAGGACCAAAGAACCTTTGTTGGATAAAACAAAAATCTACTGGCTGCAAACTGTAGCAACATAAATAAACAAAACACATGTACCAATATACATACTTGCAAGCAAATTAAATGGAAAACTTTCCAGCAAGCTAAAGCACAATGGGCAATCTTTCACAAAGTAGGCACAAGGGCATGTTGTCAAGAAGCCATATGCTTTAAAAAAATAAAATAAAAAATAAAAATTCAGTGGGTACTAAGGATTACAATGTGCCAGATCCCTGCTTTGCACTAACCCACTTTCCTAATCTTTTCAACCAGATTTGATCCTAGTCTTGCCTCTGTTTTTCAGAACAGGAAGCTGAGGCTCAAAAAGATAAGTAATTTTGCCTAGGGTTGTTAGCCCTGGGAAGTAACAGAACTGGGATTTGAACCCAGGGGTCTAGCTCTAGATTTTGTGCTCAGAACCACACAATCAGGGTTGTTGAAACATATATCACTGAGCCCTTGTCCCAGGGTTTGTGACTTAGAAGGTCTGGGGTGGGATCTGAGAATTTACATCTCTAATAAACTCCCAGGTGATGCTGATGCAACTGGTCTAGGGACCACACTTTGAGAACCAGTTTATAGAACTGGTAGAAGATAAATACGGAGAGAAAATGCCTCCTGATATTCATGGTATATAAATTCTCTTGTGGCCATGCAACATCCACATAACTATGGTCACACACATCATCTCCTTGGAACATTAAAATATCATTGTCTGATCGGCAGGGCAAAAATCTTGTGTCCCCACATTATTGATAAGTAAATGTCCCCCCAGTGATCTTATTGGTTAGGAAGTGGCAGAGTTCATGAATGACGCCACATCTTCAGTCTCACTGTGGTGCTTTTTCCCCCACAGGGACAGATGAGGCAGGAAAGTGAAACACAGGAAAAATTCATCAAAATGAAAGCTGTCTGCTAGAAATAAGACTTTTGAAAATTTATATGTAAAAATGATAAAAATGAGCAGGTAAATAGGAAAGTACATAACTCTGAAGCAAACCTAAGTAGGGAGAAGCAGAGTGGTAGCTTAAGGCAGATGAATGAATGTATTTCTTACTCCAGCATTCTGCTTATGTTAGTCAGCTTTCCATTACTGAAACAAAGTACCTGAGATGATCAACTTAAAAGGGGAAAGGTTTATTTGGGCTCACGGTTTTGAAGGTTTCAGTCCATGGTCAATTGGCCCCATGGCTTTTGAGCCTGTGATGAGGCAGCACACCACAGCAAGGAGTGCAGGGTGGAAAAAGCCTGTTTATAAAAAGGAAGAGGAAAATATGGGTGTCCCACAGTCCCCTTTGAGGACATACCCCCTAGGACCTAAAACCTCCCACCAGGTCCAGCCCCTTAAAGGTATCCACCAGCTTTCACTAGCACCAAGTTGGGGACCAAACTTTTTAACACATGGGCCTTTGGGGAACATTCCAGATATAAGCTATTGAACTGATGAATTGGTTTCTTAGAGTACTGGCTCTTAAAGTGTGGCCCCCAGACAAGTAATATCAGTATTACCTTGGAGCTTATTAGAAGTGCAGATTCTGGGGCCCATGCTAGACCTGCCGGATCTGAAATTCTGGGGAAGGGGCAGTATTCTGTGTTGTAACCAGTGCTCCAGGTATATTGATGCATGCTCAAGGGTAGAACCACTGGCTTAAAGAATTGACTTACAGCCTGCTGGCAGCCTGGCAGAGCAGAAAACTAGTGAGATCTGGGGTTAGAACCCTTTCGCCCATGCCTTCTGCCTGCTATGTGTGTGATCTTGATTTGCCACTAATATAAGCCTCTGTTTCCTCATCTTTCCATCAGGGGAGCTATGATAAGGCTCAAAATATACGTTTTTATAAAAAGAAACTCATGAAAGCAAAGGTTTTTCTGAATTAAGTGTCTTGGAATCTCAAAAGGGCTAAATAGGAGTTTTTTATTCTCTCTCAGAACTCACAGTAAGAGTATTATGTTATTTAATGATCACAATGATTGCCAGCCACTGGTCTAAGCCCTTATAAAAAGATAACTTGTTTAAAGCTCATTCAATATCCCTTTGAAATAGACACTATAGTAGTTTGTTTCACAGATGAGGAAACTCTGCTATGCTAGACTTAGTTGCTTGCTGGTTTTTACATCTGTAGATTAAAAACAAAGATGGAATCCATAATTGTGAAAATCATGAATATTGGTTCTGAATCACCCAGGTAGTTCAGGGCCACCATTTCCCTGAACAGCTTTGGACTGAGACCATTTCTTTTCAGTTCAGAATAGCTTGGGTCTGGTCTTTATGAAGGCCAAGGGGACTGACTTGGTCAACACAGAGTTATCATTTGTATGGTAGCAATTGCCTGCTCTGGGCCCAGCAGCCCCAGATGCTGAGAGAACATCATCTCTGACTCCAGGGAATTTACACTCCAGGGAATTTACACTGCAGGGAATGTACACTGTGTTGTATTGTACAACACAGGTACAATACAACACAGGTACAAGTATAAGTATAGGTACAAGTATAAGTCCTAAAGCATGAATCCATGCTAAAGGACTCAAATATTTG